GCCCCCTCCCTGCCCCCGTGGCGGAGCTGTCGGGCAGTGCCTGCGGCCGCGGTCCCCGCCGCTGCTCCTTCCCACAGCGCCGGCAGACAGAGAGAGAAGGAAAATAAAACTGCTGAGGGGAAGATGGTTTTCCCTCAGCAGGTGCCAGCTCCCTGCAGCCCTGCTGGCCCGAAGTCCAGCGCCTGCGGAGGCTGGAGCGACCACGGCCGGATCCAAGGAGGTGGGAGGTGTGAAAGACCCTTGAGGTCCCCTTTGGGGGCGCGCAGGGAAGAATAATCTTCTATTTTTTATACTCTGCTGCTGACAGAGTAACTTGTTTGAGTGTATGAACCTGGACTTTTTAAACGCTCCAGCAGCACTGGTTATCAGCTTTGGACAGAGAACCGGAGCCACATTATCCAGCTGGAAATACAGGCAGGAAAATGTGATTTCCTGAACTATAGGCTGGCTGGAATATCAATATCAATATTAACACTCGTCAAAGGCATAGAAGTTCCTTGGGTCGGTGTTAATTGTTAATTGTTGGGGTGGGTGAGAGGGAGCCTCACTTTCTGTGTTACGGGACTGGAAGTGCAGCAACAAACCCTGGCATCAGTAAGGTGTATACGAAGCACATGCATTGTTTCTGATGGGTGAAATTTGATCTTGGACCAGAATCAGTTCTAGATTCTGCATTTATGCACCAGTTCCCTCATTAACTGCACAAGAAATTTGCACCTTTCTAGTCTCATACCAAAATTCAGTCGAAAAGTCTCTGTTCATGAGATAAAGTTGTCCACCTTTCTGTTGAAGTTCAGGAAACAAATTCAACAGCCCCTTTGAAATAAAAGAATTTTTTTAAAAGTTGAAATGCTGGATATACTTCTATTTTATCATCTTAATACTATCTACTATTTATCATCTTAATTAATGCATTTTTTAAAAAGCAGGACCAGATAAATAACGTTATGCAGGAAGACACTTAGACTGTTTTCCATAGGTCAAGAAAGATACGTGAACCACCATGACCATGATGATCATGACATTGAAACATCAAGACATTCAGTGCTTATGTCAAGAATTATTAGTTAAGATACCTTATATGTAATGGAAAAAATGCAGTACTTAGCATGTTAAAGACTTTTGCCTGAGTACTTGAGCCAAAAACCATGAAGCAGTTCCAATGGCAGATACACACAATACATTCCCACTAATGTGTCTTGGTGAACAAAACTTAGAAACCACAGCTGAAGGTCAAAAATTCCAAAGTGCTAACCTTATAAATTCGTCATCATCTCCATAAAAAACATACATTATCTAAGGTAAAGCTGCTTAGATTAAATTTTAACATTCTTTTCAGTTAGGGATCATTGTCTCACACCATCTCTGCAGGGAAGAGATGTATTTAGCAATAATGTCAAAAATATTTCAGCTTCTTTGCTTCTTCTATCAAAACAATTAATGCAGTGGCCTATTAGAAGCACAGAGTTTTCATTAACCAAGGACAAAAAACCTGATACTGCATTTTGCTGTAGATGTGATGGTGTGGAAATGAAGACATACCAAGGGCCCTTGACAAAGGGTGAAATGGGGACTGACCACTGCCACTACTTTCTGTGTATATTAAGATAATTTACTGAATAAACTGAGGTTCACTGCAGCCTCTCAAACAAGGTTGTCCAGAAAGATCTTCTCTGTGTGCATTTTCCCCTTTCCCTTTAGGGCAACCCAGCATACTGTGTTGCATCACATTTTTGTGCTATATCACAGAAAATATCCTAGAACTATAGATACTGGCCAATCAAAGCAAGGCTGTAAATTTGATACAGAGTTGCTTCTTTATCTGCAATTGACCACAGTAAGCAATATCACTGCTGGCATCAAGGAAGAAGATTGTAAGAGAAGTTTATGAATGGCCTTACAGAGAACTTGGGGAAAAATTGAGAGATGCAGGAATATTTGGAGGTGATAGTACAGGAAACATCAGATGACATAAGAGTCTCAGAGTTTATATAGGGATAATATTTAGCAAAGAAAAAATGTCAAGGCAATACAGAGGTCTTAAGAAATTGATATGCAAAAAAAAAAAAAATTTGAATTTTATTTGGCTTCTTTTAAGGACCATCATTGTATTTCAAAGACTCCCTGGCGGCCAGTTTCTGCATCTAAACATATCAGTATTTCATATGTGCATGGAAATTGATAAATTAAATTGTTTATTCTGGTTCTACTGCTGGGACAGAAGAAGGCACAAGATTAAAATACACATCATATGTAGCATCTGTCTGTAAAAAAAATCAGTTTAAATATTAGGAATGGATTTTATTGTCTGATGTGGCAAAATCATGACTCCAAATATTAGGAATGGATTTTATTGTCTGATGTGGCAAAATCATGACTCCAAAATTCCTGGTTAAATAAACAAACCAGGAAACAAGTAACTGTCAAAACAGACAAACTTATTTCAGCTTAACTTCTGTTTTCAGAAGTTTTAGAATTAATTTTCTTATTTTTTCTCAGAAAACATATGGCTTTATAATTTAGAAGATGCTGTGATTGCTTAGGAATTACTTTTTATTCTAGCAACATGCCTTTTATTTCAGTAGTAGTCCTAGAACTTGCAATAGAAATTTGACATGGCAATAGCATCCTAATAACAAAAACAGGTCTTTCAAATAGCATTTTAAAACTTCTACTGCACCTACCCTTGAAATTTCTATCTATTCCTGGGGCATATATTCTTTATTTCTTCCTCCTCAATTCATCACATGTATCAGACACGACTTTACAGGCAGCTGTGCTTTTGCCATTTGCCATTTCTCCAGTTATTTTCTCTATACAAAAAATCCTAATAAGAAAAGAAAGATTTGGTCCATGTAGGTAAATAAATATAAGAATATATTTGAATGTTTTTCTCCTAGTACCTGTCATGAGGCCAAACTTCAAAACTTTTTTTTCATGTTATGAATGTTGCACAGAATAAGGCACAACTTGGTTTTGGGGTTTTGTAAGTCAGTAAATGAAATCTAGTAATCAGATTGTTCTTCACTGTATGAACTGCATGCAAAAAAAAAAATCTAATTATTGACAAAACCAGCTTAGTACAATTAGTTTTTTCCTTCAAATTGGGTATCTATTTTAATTCTAATAAAAGCTATTTAAAAGTAAAAGCAAAGTTAATCAGACATTAGAAAACAGCCTGATAGGTATAGTTAGCTATAGTTAGCTATAGTTAGCTATAGTTAGCTATAGTTAGCTATAGTTAGCTATAGTTAGCTATAGTTAGTTATAGTTAGTTATGGTTAGTCTAGATTTAACAAAATGTGCTGAAGACAGAATATTCATTTTTTCTTGGTCATAGATTACAAATGCTCTTCTGCAATGCAATGAAGAGTAAAACATGAACAATACCTGCATTTAATATCTAAAACACAACCTGACACCATTCCTTGTGTAGACATTGCAAATAGCATCTCCAAATAAAATACCAAGATGTGTTTCTACCTGGACATATGCAGATTCCTCCATCTACAGTTTCATTGCTCTGCCAGAAGATCAGGTTGGGGGTGGCATTGAAAGAA